TCTGACTGAGACCTCTAAAACACAGCTCAACACATCGGTGCAATGGGGCTCTACCATGTAAGGCTTCAGTAGAGATTGCAACAGCTGTCTTCTGATTTTAAAATCTATATGCTGCTGTTATCCAAAGACTTTCATTAGGCAAAGGCCCTACATTTACTTACTATGTAATCACTGTCTTCATCTTTGGGACCTTCACTGTAATACACACGGTAAGCTTTGGCCACTTGGTCAATCTGTACCTTGTTACCAGTCAATCCGATCAGCTTTGGAGAAAATTCTAGATAGAAAGAAGACATTGAGACATTTTAGTGAAGAGAATCCCATCGAGAGCCTCCTTTTCAGTGCTCCATATTACATGCTATAAGACAGCAAGGAAGGAAACAGTAATACCTTTAACATATCTGGCAATGGCTTCTTCATTGTCCCTCTCAGGATCAATGGTGATGAAGAGTGGAGTCAAATTAGGCAAAGATGGGATTCTATCTGTGACATTAACAATTATTATTTTTCTTAGAAGACTAAAAATCATTTCTCACCTCCCTTTAAAAAAGCTCACAGCCAACCTACCGTAACATCAATCCAAACCCACCCTAAGTGACAAAAATGGCCATTTTGTGCAGCTTAATTTATGTAATTTGTGAATGAAGCAAATGCCATGAAATCCAAAGCTCTATGCTTGTGCCAGGTGCAGCTACTCTTCCAGCCTCCCAGCGGGTGACCCTGCCCTGCTCAGGAGAGATGACAAATTGACTCTGATGCAGAAAATGAGTGATGCATTTATCATTTCAATACAACGAAAGCACATCTGTGATGGTGGAGCCAGAAAATACGTGAAGACACAGTTCAGGCTCTTTTTCTCATGTTCCAGCCATAGCTTTCACTGTATTTTCTTCAACTTAGTCCACCCCCCCACTTGCTTGGTTACTATTATCCCTGCTCTGTAACTCTTCAGAGCCCGAAGGATAAGAAAACCACCTCTATCACACAGCCTTCCCTCAACCTCCATTCCACAGCACAGTTACTGTTAGAAAAGACTTCCACAGAGATCTGTTCTCAGAATTAATAAAACAGAGAGAAAAAAACCCTAATACACTCCACAACCACTTCTTGGCAAAAATACAATGCAATGGAACCGCTCCTTGTAACCTGCCACCATCACGTTTGATTACCAAGTCCCCTGTTACAGAAAGATCAATGCTGTCATTCTCTATATTATAATCAGATCCTAGTGACAGGCAGGTTGATGTATGTATCACTTAGCAATTAATTCAACTACTGAATAGTGGTCAACAGCGCTTTTTTTAAAAAAAAAAAAAAAAGATGATCAGTTATTACCATTTGCAGTATTTTACCACAATAAACCTGGACCTCCCATAAAAAGGACCACTATGCCAACCGAATTCCCATACCAATTTCTTCTACCACTTCAATCATTTTCTCCAGTTCGTCAGGACAGATGTCAGGGCAGTGTGTGAAGCCGAAGTAGATCAGCACCCACTGGCCGATGTAGTCCTCGCTGGTCTTGGGCTGCCCCTCATGGTTGACAAGTGAGAAGGGCCCTCCTAGCAGCGGTTTCCCAATGCCTCGGTTTCGTTCCTTCTCCAGCTCTACAAAAAAACAAGAGGGGATCAAACACATCCATGCTGTAACCCACACTGCTTCCCAAATGAGCCTCAAAAGCAGCTGAGAGTCAGGCAACCTCTCAGAGTCACAGCCCAGGATGTTGAATCCTCAAGATCTACTAACGCCATTGTGTAAAAGCTCAATCCGGACAAGAACTCCAAAAAGCATTCCATTTTGGGCAAAATCAAATATATCAATAAAGTCCTTTGAAACACAATAATCTCCTTCATTGTGATCCGACAGCATTTTTATTAAATTAAAAAAAAAAAAAAAAACAGACAAAAAAAGACAGGTACTTGGCTTGGTATGAAACAGAAAAATTAGCATCCTTTGCAAACTGAACATATTGTAAAAGCTGTAAGACCTCTGATTTTCAACATCAGAAACATGAAAAAAAACGCATGGGCAGTTGCAGCTGGAAAAGGAAACACGATGCTACTACAAGAGGTGCTACACAAAGCGAAACCTACGTGCACAAGAAAGCCCCACCTCCCCCTCTGTGCCGCATCGAGTGGCAGCAGCATGCATAACGAAATGCAATTATTCTGAAAATCTTAAAAGCATATATAAGAATTTGAAAACGCTTAACCTTGGAGATTTTTTTGAATTTCTGAAAATTTTCTGTGGCACTTATATACACATAGGCACAAGGCAGCACTGTGCAAAGCATGGCGTGACTCTGCGGGATGCCGAAATGGGTAAAATTCATACGGGCACAAAAAAAACGCATCATCTGAATACAGAATACGCCGCTCCTGCCGCTTCCCCCGCCCTACCCCGAGCGGGAAGGCTCCGGGCCCTCCCTCCCGCACTCACCCTCCTCCTTCCACCGCTTCACCTTCTTCATGGCGGCCAGCAGCCCTCCGCACAGCACGAAGGTGGCCGCCAGCGACCGCCACGACACCAGCTGCTGAGGAGAAGCTGTTTAGTGACTGAAAAGAGGGGGAAAGGCACGGCACGGCACGGCGCGGCCCGTCCCGCCGCCCCACGCTGCCCCGCCGAGGAGGGACGCGGCTCCTTCCCGCCCTCACTCACCCTCCTGTGCGCGCCCGCCCGCGGGCCGCTGCCCGGCGGCAGGCGGGACAGCCAGCGGCTGCCGACCGCGGGCTGCGCCGCCCCGGCCCTCGCCACAGCGCCCGCCAGCCGCCCGCACAGCGCCAGCCGCCAGCACAGCGCCGCCGCCGCCGCCATCTTCTCGCCCCCCGCTTCCGCGCCCGCCCCTTCCGCCGCCCTCACCCGAGAGCGGCCGTCATGGAGGCGGCGCCGCTCTTCTCCTTCGGCGTTATCGCTGACATCCAGTACGCGGACGCAGAGGACGGCTACGACTTCGGCGGGAGCCGGCGGCGGTACTACCGCCACAGCCTCAGCCTGCTGCGCGACGCTGTGGAAGACTGGGCCACCGAGAGGCCGCCGCTCGCCTTCGTGCTGCAGCTGGGCGACAGCATCGATGGCCTCAATGCCCGTAGCGGCGAGGCTGAGGGCGCCCTGGGGCGAGTGCTGGCAACGCTGGGGCGACTGCCGGTGCCCGTGCATCACGCGTGGGGCAACCACGAGTTCTATAACTTCAGCCGGGCCCGCCTGGCGCACAGCGGCCTCAACAGCCGGCCCGCCGGGGCCGCGGCGGGCGGGCCGGCCGGTGACTGCCAGGCCTACCACTTCAGCCCGGCCGCGCGGTTCCGCGTCGTCGTGCTGGACGCTTACGACCTGAGCGTCTTGGGCAGGGAGCCGGACAGCATCCGCTACCGGGAGTCCCTGCGGCTGCTGCGGGAGAAGAACCCCAACGACGACCTCAACAGCCCCGCAGGTACCCGCGTCTCGACCCCGCGGCAGGGTGCGGGCGGCTAAACCGCCGCTTCCCAGAGCAGCGACGCCGCTCCCGGGGCTGGCACCTGCCCCGTCCCTGCTCACCGCCTTTCCCTCCCTGCTGTCGCTGAGAGCCAGTCACTGGGCCTCTGGGCGGGCACCGGAGACGCTCCCCCCATACCTGTCGCACTGCTCGGGTGCTTGTGGGGCGGGTTTCGGTTGTGCTGTGTGCCCTGCAGTATCGGAACAAAAGACAGCTGTGGGTGCAGCACCGACTGATGCCCACCCAGTGCCATGCCGGGGGGGAATCCAAGAATGGAAATCCTGTGCCTGAAAATACACATAATTTTCTCTTGTTTGTCCAAGGAGGCTGGAGTTTTGATCCAAGAGATGGGAAAAAAAAAAAAAAAAAAAAAGTTATGAGAGTAAACCATCTATTGTAAGCAGAGTTACATAAAACAAATAGGGGAGCCACAAGAGGTGTATGGACCTAATCCTAAACTTCTTCTTCATTGCAGGACTCAAAGAACCTCGGTTTGTAGAGTTTAACGGAGGATTTAGCCAAGCCCAGCTGGACTGGTTCAATGAAGTCCTTAAGTTCTCTGATGAAAACCAAGAAAAAGTTGTAGTTACGGGTAGGTGGATATGGGGGATATATGAAAAAAAAAAAAAAAAAAGTTACGTAGCCAGTGTTAGCTGAGGAAAACATGTAGCAGCTTTGTAGCTCCACTGAGTTAGGTACAAGTGTAACTTGAAGTAGAATAGCAGCCACCTCTCACAGTCCGGTAAGCTTTCTGTGTACAGTTAGATGTCTGAACTTAGCAGGAATGAAGGCGGAGTTTGGTTACACTTAAAGTAATTCTGCTTCTTTACCTCTCAACTGCAGGTCATCTGCCCATTCATCCAGATGCTTCAGACAGAGTTTGCCTAGCCTGGAATTATGAAGATGCCCTTTCAGTTATACACTCCCATCAGTGTGTGGTTGGCTTTCTTGCAGGACACCTGCACGATGGTGGCTATTGTTTAGACTCTCATGGAGTTCATCATCTGACTTTGGAGGGGGTTATTGAAACTCCACCAGAAAGCAGTGCCTTTGGAACTATTTATGTCTATGAAGATAAAATGATACTAAAGGGAAGGGGCAGAATTTCAGACAGAGTTATGCATTTCTGAAAATGGTAAACAAATACAAATTGCTCTTCAGGATGAACTCGGACAAAAAAGCAGGGGATTCACATTATTATGTGTTTGTAGAAAGATGTGCATGGCTGATCCTTATAGCTTTACCTCAAAAAATTTTCTCTTGGATACAGAATTTTAGAAATTATTTTAAGAAAACAAACCTAGTTTCTTTGTGGAGAATAGCGAAGGCCAGTAACCATGTTTGAAATAAATATACTTGAATGCAGAATGCTGAGCTGAAACACCCAGTGCTGACCATATTTCTACTTACTGTGAAAAAATGCAAACCATATTATGAATATTGTCAAAAAAAAAGCTGCTGTTATATATCAGTCAGAACATGCAGAATTGTACCTGCCCAGCCGCATTTCAATTTCTGTTGTTGGTAGGGGTTTTTTTTTGTTTTGTTTCGTTTTTTTTTTAATTTTTCTGGAACATCATAGTCAGTAATGTCTCATGTCTGGTAAAATTAGTCCACCCTGTAGCCTAACGCAGTCTTCTTAACATTGCTTCAAAAGACTAAAGTAATCTTCAAGAAAAGCTAAGCCCAGGGGAAATGGAGATCATGTAATGCTGCAGATAAACCCGCTGGGACCTACATGTGCACAGCTGTATTAGCCTGCAGCAGTACTGAGCTGCTGACATGGAAGGATCATGTAGCTGTGCTGCATCTGGACCTGTTCTGGCTCTCTCCCAGCCAGCTTGTGTGTCCAGTGTATTCACATGTGCTTCCTTCTTCAGGATTAGTAATGGTGGAACATGCTTACTGTCACTGGGCTGCTGCGTGGGTTCTGCTTTCCAGGAAGAGAAATTCTGTGAAAAGCAGAATTGTGATTGTGAGCACATCTGCTGGTAGCAGTCTTGAGTACACATCTCAGAAAAGATACAGAAGCTTTAATTGAATTATCTGTATAAAAATACTATTTATGACGCTGTAAAACTAGTAATTTTCAGATAAAGATAACAGCAAAAATACTTATTCTGATATATTCTACACACAATTTTAGCATAGAAATGTTGTCCCAAAAATATGGGTTGTTTTACTCGGTGTGCAGTGAGCCAAAAAACACACGGAGTTGGTATATTTGTTTAATCCATATCTGTGCAGAGATGGGTGCTAGGTGGTAATTCCACAAAGCTAGCACCCCTTGGTTAGCACCCGGTAAGCATTTATACAGCACAAGTGACAGTTATTAGTAGTTTTTACTGATAAATTTGGCTACCCTCATTCTCATTGGTCCTTGAGAGGTCTCATCTCTATTTAAACTCACAGTAGTCTCTTTTTTAATCATACATTCAGTGAGGAAGGGGCTTTTTTCTTGGTGGGGTCCATTTCAGGACTTGAGCAAGGGTCCCTTCCATGTTAATGATGAAAGCTCACTCATAGTTCAGGTAGTTATCTCCTTGGTTTTATCAGCAGCTTGTGTTCCTATGCACTTATCTTGGTATTTCCCTGCTTGATGGCGTTAAGGTGTTAGCCCTCACCCTTATCTCCGTATTTTCTTGTTTAATTACAGTGCTGCTTCTTCAGCATCACTCTGTCAGCTTTAGCAGTTCCTTTATCAATTGCTGTTGTTCTTTCACAATCCTCTTTTGGTTGTTTTATCAATTAAGATGTAACAAGAACAGAAATACAGATTGTTCAATTTTTCAGTTAGTCTCAATGGACTATCCAGGCAGATATCTGGAAGTTTTACAGCTATAAATACTCATTTATTGTAACAAAGTGTTTGCTTTACTTTTCCATTATGTTACAGAACAGTAGATTTTGCAAAGTACAAGGTGGTTGGAGAGTGAAAGATGCCAGGATATCCTGCATACACCATTAGAACACATATTAGATCAACAGTGCTTTGAAAATGTATGAAGAAGCCAGCTGAACAACAGTTTCCATATAAAAAGTCTCCATTCAGATTTGACAGTATTCCTCAATTTAAAAAAAAAAAAAAATAAAATTTCAAACTGCACTGCTGAAAGCAGCCAGACATTCTTGGGTCCTATCAAACTGATACTAACCTCTCATTAGGAACCAAAAGCAAAGGCAAGTAAGATCAGAATATTTATTCTATACTTTCTCCCACCCAATTAGATCACCGTTTTACAGTGTGTTGGCCAAGATGCTCGCATGTCTTTGTTCGCATAAATGTACAGCCACAAAACAAAGGGGAAGAAGGCCACCACAATTGCAGCAGTCAAGTGAACTCCACCCAGTCGACTCCTATAAAGAAACAAGTGCAACAGAGCTACTTCAGACTGCTATGAAACATTCACACCTGGCTGCAGGTAGAAAGACAGCAGAGAGCCTTTGGGCACTGTAATGTAGCTCCTGTGGGTGCATCAGCAGAGTCCTTTACTGGAGAGGCACCACATGCCAGCAGAAGTTTTTTCTGCCACCTCAGGTTACATAAACCAGGTGGAAAAGAAAAAAAAAAAAAAAAAAAAAGCACCCTGCTTGCCCAGAGCATCTGTGACATGCTTTCCCAGCACAAAGGTACTTTTTGGCAGATTGGGATTTTTCATGCTCCCAGATAACAGAAATTAGCAAAATTGCTGTCGCACATTTCCCTGAAGAGGCTGAATGGGAAAAATGTGGAGCCAGTGCAGCCAGGCAGCGACCCAGAGCCTTCTGCCAGCTCTGCCTGCATCACCTCCCTGCTCCAGCAGACGCAGTGGACACCTGCACAAAGACCCTCACTGGAAAGTTCTGTAAATTGGGAGCAATGGCAGAAATGGCTTTGTAGTTCATTAGCAGCTGTGGCCAACGCTCACTAGCCTGTTCGGCAGAAGGTGTGTGCTGTCCTTATGTGAAGGGAGAATGTCCCCTGCCCGTTATGGCAGGAGGAGCAGAAAAAATGTTTTGTGTAGCTGTACTGACTCTGCCACAGACTTCTCTGTGCAAGATCCTACAGGCCGTAGCACCAGATATTACTGATTAGGTATCTGAGAAGGGTCAGACAGTGACATGAAGCAGAAAAGCAAGGAGCCAAAATCAACTATGATTTTTAGAAGAAGCTAGTCACTAAACATGAACATATGAACAGATTAAAATAAAAAAAAAAGGAAACAAAACTTACTTTGCTGAACTACGACAAAGACTCATCCATATTGTAATAATCACCAGACCAAACAACTCTCTAAAAAGCCAAACAAAAATCTGATCAGAAAAATAATACAAGCAGATGGTTTTTGCCTTTAAAACAGTAGTGTCTGCTCCTTTGGAGAAGTTCAATATATTTTATTTACTATGATTATAAAGGTTGTGCTTGCCACTACAAATCTACAAACACACATGACCCAGCTGCAGAAATTCGTGCCTCCGCTTTTTGTTCCACTGCTAAACTTGTATTCCACAGCACATTTCTCTCATTAACACAGACAACCCCAACAAAATCCGACTGCCACAGTCAGGCAAGCAATCATGACTGTTCACTCTCCCTTTAGCTCTTTTGTCCAGCGAATGGCTGGTTTGGAGCACTGTGGTCCTTCCTCCTTGGATTGATTCCCCTGGACCACAGCACTCATTGCAACAGCCCAGCAAATAAAGTTTAGCAAGGTGACCACCAAAAGGAGATGGCCTGGTGTGCTGAATTCGTACAGGGGAAAATAAAAATCACTGCTTACCTGCCTTCCTCTTCATGCAAAATATTTCCTTGAGCATAAGCAAACAAAGAGCAAGCCAAGGCAATGGTCCCAACAATACAACCAGCAGAATGAAGGTCACAAAGGCTTCTCCAAACACCATTATCTGAGGAAAAAAATAGACTGTCAGCAACTGCAATGTAGCATGAAGTAAATGCTATAAATCAAAAAGCAAATGAGTTGCTAAGAGATGCCTCCAGCAAACACACACATCTTAGGCAGGAAGATGGAATTAACACCAGCATCTTTATGACCAGGGTAATCTGCTAAAAAGTGGTGTTGAAAATAAACACTAGTGGGCTTGGGGCTTGCTTTGCTAGGAATGCAACTTCTTGGCAGCAGCACCTCGATGAAAAGAGTTTTCCATTCTCTCCAGCAGACAAAACAGGCTCCAGTATTCAACATGCATGGAAAAAAAAAATAATCACAAGGCGGATTACAAATTAAAGATCTATTAAACAGAAGGAACGGCCTTTCTGGAACTCACAGCCACAACTAGACGCTCAGCATGTCCCCAGAGGGCCACCGGAGCCCATGGGAGCAAGCCCCAGCTCCCAGCCACCCGTCAGGGCACCGAGGGACCGCCACACTCCATGGACCATCTTCCCTCACACTCCCTGAGAAGCCTCTGCCTGAGGTTTTGCCTGTGATGATGAGCAACGCTGATGACGTCTCTGCCTGGGGACTGATGTTTTTAAACAGAGAAATACAGATTATGTGAAATATCTGTATGGTCCCACAGATTCTTGTGGTTTTCTATGTCCATTCCCAGGGGCTTGTGGGAGAGAGGTAAGCAAAGGGCACAGGCAGTTCTCGCTGATCTCAGCAACATTAATGGCAAAAACTGTAAAGTTAAAAGCAGTCTTTTCTGGGCACTCACCCCTCCAAGCAAGCATTAAAGATGATGTGCTGCCAAAATTCAAGAGCTCAGTGTGACCCAAGTTGTAATCGATTCCCCATTTGGCTGAATTTAGAATCTGGGTCTTCCACAGACTTGAATGGCAAAGATGCCTTGGTGAATATACATAAATGTCCAGTTATACAATAGTTGTGCTATTTTAATTTTTGTTTTCCACAGATCTTGGCACAAGTATAAAAACCTACTTGTGAGTTTAACATGAAGATTCTCTTGACCAGCCAAATGCCATTATGTTGAAGCTATACCTATCACATGAATAAACCTTCCCCGAAATGTTCAAAACCACAGGCAACCAACACTCAAGGGTTTTTTTGGCTTTGAGTGCTGCCACTTTATATGCTTAAGGTAGCCAGCATGCCGAGAGACTGCAAGTGTGTTTTGTAACAATAGCATGCACTCTTGAAGATTTTGGTTTTGGTCATAAGTGTGGTTTTAGTTTATTCAAAGTATTCATCCAGAAAAGATACAGTCACTTTGTGTACATAAAGTGTCATGATTTGAAATTTTTTTCTACTGGATGAGAATACAAAAAATTAACTATTTTCTGGAGTCCTGGGCAAAATCTAATCTGACTGATTCTCTCAAGACGTGATGTGGCATTAGTCCTCTTAGTGTACACCCTTAGAAACTCAGCCACTGCACTGAAGCCCCTAAATGTCGCCAATACGGCCCATGCGCTTTGTGGGGTAGCTGCAATACTCGATGCTGAACAAGACCTTTAGTTCTTCCAAAAGGACTGTAGAGAGCTCAACCGCTCTTCTGAGGTAGAGAAGCAAAACCACAGATTTACAACAAGGAAACAAAGTGAATTAGTGTGCTAATCTCAACATCAAAGCCAGGTTGAGAGCATGGTCCCAGGCTTGCGCTGCACTCACAGCTTTGAGCACTGGAATTGGAGTGCAAAGCTAAGCCCATGCCCGCAGCAGGCCTTTATGCAGGGGTCCTCCATTCACCTCCAGCATGTCCAACCACAAGCACTAAAATGACCAGCTTTTGTAGAAGCAGGTCCCACAGCTTTTTCCCCTCAAAAGGTAGTAGGACATATTTCCATGTGGCCTGATCTTAATCTGTGATTCAATTAAAAAAAAAAAAACTTTGGGGGGCAAAATCTGAGCAGAGACTCTTCTGCACACCAATATCATACCTGTTATTGAAGGGTTAATGCTGACAAGCAGTGTCAGGGCAGCTGGCACTAAGTAGACAACCTGTTAATGAAACATACATCTATTCTGTAGCAAAACTTAGGAAGTTAAGGAAGCAGAAGCATCCATCCACATCAAGGCTTTTTCCCTTCACAGCAGTTTGCCCGAGGCACAGAACAGCTGCCAATCCCTCTCCCCCTGGCACACCCCCGCCCTGCTGGTGCTCATCTTCACCACCACCACCCAAACCCCCGGACCATCAGCCGAGTGAGTGAGTGCCAGCCCTTGGTCCTCAGCTTCAGGGTTAGCTAGTCCCTACTGCCCAACCCGCCCGTCACAGTGGCCCCTGCACCGCATCTTGATCCCTCAGGGAAAGCCCCTACGGGAAATCCCAGCCCTGGGCCCCCCAAACCCTCCACCAGTGTTGGGTGGCTCCCCTGAGAGCAGCAGCACCCTTGGCTGCCCCAGCCCGGCTCGGCTGCTGTCAGTGGGGCTCACCCGCGCGGGGGATGTCCCCCCCACACCCCAGCAGCTCCTGCCAGACACAGAGACGTTCCCCCTCGTGCCTCAGCTCCAGGCCCTGTCCGCAGCGGGCCAGGGCCACCGGGCTGCTCGTGTGCCCGAGAAAGGGCTGGCAAAGCAAAGAGGGAAGCGGGTTTCTCTCTAGATTTGCCCTCGAGCCCGAGGAAGCCCTGCCGAGCTGAGCGGAGACTGAAGGCGGTCAAGCTGGTCACTCAAGGCAAGCAGAGGTGACAGGAGGTCGCCTGCCCAGGGTGTCTCGGGCAGAGGGCGGGAGGAACGAGGGCAGCTTGGCGCGTTCTGCGCAGGCAACCAACGCTCTGCAGAGGGCAGGTGCAAATCTGGGGTGAAATAAGGAAGATCCGGGAAGCACGGTCGGGTTTCAGCCATCGCTGCTGCAGAGAGACTCCTTTTCCAGCGCCCGCTTGCTCTCCGGCTAAAAGCAGGGAGCTGGTTTCCTCCGGCGGCCGCGGTCCGGCCCAGGCGCCGGGGCGACGGGAGCGGCGGAGCGGGGCTGCGGCCTCCGGGGGCCCCGGGGGAAGGCGGCGGCGCAGGGGAAGGGCCGCGCCCGGCGCCCGCCCCGCTCCAGCCGCCGCCGGCGCGACGGGCGGCCCCGACTCACCGTCCACAGCCCGGCGTCGGGGTCGTTCACCTGCAGCGAGGAGGCGCGCGCTGAGGCCCCGCAGCACCCGCCCCGGCCGGGGGAGCCGAGCAGAGCGGGGGCGCGGGCCGCCTGCCGCCCCCGGCCGCCCCGGCGGCCCCGGCGGCCCCGGCGGCCCCGGCGGCCCCGGCGGCCCCGGCCTCACCTGCACCGCGGCCGCCAGCCCGAAGAAGGCGGCCATGGCGAGGTTACAGAGCCGCCACAGCCGCCCCGCCATGGCCGAACCCGCCACGGCCGAACCCGCCATGGCCGCTCCGCCTCCGCCGCTGCCGGGGGGGCCGCCCCTGGGGGGGGCAGGGGGACAGCGGGGGCGCCTGGGCTGCTCAGCCAGGCTTAGTCATAGTTACTGGTTTTTAGAGAGAACTGAAAAATGCTTCTTTTCAAAATCGAGCCTAAATCCACAGTTGTGTGGTCTTAGCTACAATACGCGCATTCCCGGAGTTACAGGGTTCTCCAGTCTTTCCCCGGTTGTACCCCTGAACACGAGCCAGTTAGCACATAAACACACCATCCCTCAGCGAGCTCCTGGGGCAAGTAAGTCCACGTACACCCTGGGCTCCATGAGGAGAAGCACGCTGCAGGGAGTTATTCCCTCTTCCACCCAGTGCTGGTGCACCCACAACTTTTGGTCCTGTCCAGGGTCCTCAGTGAGGAAGGATGTGAAAGACCTGAATTAGGGTTCTGCAGATGGTGGGTTCTGCAGTATGGTCAGGAGGCCAGAGAACGTGGCCTTTGAGCAGAAGTGCACAAAGAAGAAGCAAAATCCAGTAACAATGTGTAACTACTGCCAGGAGTGTCTGCAGAGATGACTGAGCCAGATTTTCCTTGCAGGCATTAGGTGATATACCAAGGGGCAGTGGGCACAAACGGTGGCTTGGAAGGTTTTGTCTGGACTTTAGGGAAATGTCCTCATCAGGGGGGTCGTGCAGGCTGCAGTAGGTGACCCAAGCAGGCTGTGTGATCTCCATCCTTGGAGGTTTCCAAGGCTTACCTAGACAAAGCCATGGCTCACCTGGTCTGATGTGACAACCGTGCTTCAGCTGGGCTGTTGGATTCTAGACCTCCAGCCATGCCTTCACAGCAACATTTCCATGTTTCTGTGGTAGCTCATGTACCTGGAAGAGAATTAGATCTTTGACTCAGTGAATACACATGAACAAATTTGTACAGTAAAACTAGCAAGTAGTTATGGAAGAATATAAACCCTCTCAAGAGGGGCCCTGCAGTCCCTGCCTGAGCTGTTGCAGGAGTGTCCATCCCCAGCTCAGCCGCAGCCTTGCCTGTGTTTGCCCATGGAGCCTGTTGATCCAGTCCTTGATGCACGGGCTGATTTCCCAGCTTGACCTCAGACCTGCCTCATCATCGTGGATCTCACCAGCCACCACTGGGCTATGTCTGATGCTGGTTACCCCCACCAAGCCTGATCCTGACCCTGACTCATAGGTTGACCTCCCAGCTTGTCCTCAGACTTGCCTTGTCTCCAGGAATTTGTCTGGTGATCTGGACTCTCAGTTGGATCTGGCTGCAGTCCCTGGGCCAGGGCAGTGGGACGGGCATTGCCCATTCCCCGTTGGCCATGGCTTCCCTCCCAGCCCTCACTGCTCCCTGATGAGCTCCTTAACTCAGTTCAGTACGTGTGTGATGGTGGCTGGGGAGGAAAGAAAAATGCTGTCAGGCTAGCAGGGGAGGGCTGGAGTGCAGAGCCCTGGCGCAGAGGAGTTGAGGTTGAGGCGGCTGTGGAGCTGCACCGTCAATCACCGCAGTGGGCTGATGGGCGCTGGGGCACGACTGAGCCCAGGGAGCTCCTGGGGAGGGGTTGGGAGCAGCCGTGGCTGGCAGTACAGCTGCAGGACAAACCGCAAGAGGGAAGGGTGCCGGGCAGGGACCAGCTATCACTGCTGTTCTGAGGGATACCTCTGAGGTCAGGCAGGACTAAGCAAGACTAGATATTCGTTTTTCAACATAGGCAAGGCAAAATAAGGAACTACTGCAAATCCTGCAGTCTGTGTCAAAACTATGAACAGTGAGGTTTCCACTGAGTTTCTGTCCTGTCTGTCCTCATAGTCAAGAACAATCCTGTTTAGCTGCAAAGGACATTGTGAGCCCACCTCTACAGCCAACCTGCATGTGAGAGGGATTTGTGTTTGTTATAGTCAACTTTGTTGGTAAGTATGTGAAAAGATTTTTTTTTTTCTGTACTGTAGAAATAACTAATCTGACTGAGAGCTGGTATGGCAGAAAAAAAAACAGCTGTCTCCAGAAAGGCTTCCTGTTACACAGCAAGAGTGAGCACCAGCTCCAAGGATCCTTGTCACAAGCATCTTCTGTCTCCCATGGGCCATGAACAGATGTGGCAATGGTTGTCACAGTTATGCCTGGGCTTGGAAATTTGGTGATGTTGAAGAACCGTGGATGTAGGGGAGGAATAGTGAGTCAGGGATAAGAGGATTCTTATGTCTTTTCCTTGCCAAGAGATTGGGATTTAAATGGAAATTTTTGTAATGACTCAGTGGTCTAGGATTTGTTTTGTATTTAAGAAGAGATTCGGTCTTTTGTGTTGTCTGGAGAACAAAAAGGGTATTGTTCAGAAGAATAGTATTGCTTCATCATTCACTGATCATTTATGACCAAAAGCGATAATCAGTGATGAATTGAAAGTGGGCCCTTTAGAAATGTTATAGCTACCGTATCTATCAAGCCTGAATCTCTGTCAGATCATTTTTCCCACTGATTTCAGTAACAGTGTAATACAGCCCCCTCAGCCCCCAACAGAATTAGGTCTTGCTGAACCGTTATGCAGAGGACATGTGAATGTGTCCACATTTGTGGAGGGGATTAATGCTTATCTTGTGTTATTTTTAACTGAGTCTTTCCTTGAGCAGGTTAGGAGAGATGAAATTACTGCAGAGAAAGTCACGGAAAAGTAAGATCCATCTTTGTAAATGGCTGTCATTTGTTACAGCTCCACTGAGTACGCTTTATGGATCATAATAATTGTGTTATTCTGTACATTAAACAACTGCTGGCAGCTGCAGGCAGAACACCAGGCCATGTTCACGATAACTAGACCCCTCTCAACATTTAGGTTGATTCACATTCACATCCTGAAGCCCAGGAAAATTAAACCACTCTACAGGCACCCTTAAGTGTAGAACTTTCCTGTTGAGAAGCACGCTGGGAAGGGACTACAAATGCTTAAAAGAAAACTGGGAAACTGCACTCCACATGTTGTTCTTCTTTTACCAAACCCAGCTTAATACATGGATTATCAAGAGCAACAGTTCAAACGTCCCTGCAGTTTCTCAGCAGGTCCCGACGGAGCTGCACTCTCCTGCTGAGGCACCATGAACTACACCACACTCCTGGGTCAGATTTTTGAAGGAGGCAGAACCTCACTGGAGAGCACTCAGCAGTGTTTGTCTTTGTGGTGTAACCTCTGTCCCCAGTTCTTCAGTCCCTTATCCTCACCTGGGAAGGAGCAGTGCTCTAGTAATGAATCACTTCCATGCTTTGTTTCCATGTCCAGGATTGGCTTTTGAATGTATTTTCTCAGAGAAGAGAGGTATCTCAGGCTAGAGAATGGAAGTGTCAAAGATTTAAAAGTAACAGTGGTGTTAATAAAAATAAAGAGAGAAGAATGTAAGAGTCAGTGTGTCTTTCATTAGAGTAATTTATGTTATAGAAAAATAAAAGCAGAGCAGCTTTTCAGGCACACCAGCTCTTCTTTGTGTGCAAAACAAAATTATGAATTACAGACTGTTTTTTCCAACAGTATTAGCTGATCTTGCAAAAAGAAAATTCAGCTGCGATGAAGTCTGTGACTCTTTCATTTGCCTGGCCCCAAAGCCATCGCACAAACCTACACAGCCCACCTGGTTTCTGTGACACGGCTGGGCTGCTCTTTGCCACGTCACAGATGCTGGGCTGCAGGTCCGGAGGGAAGAGGCAGTAGGGTGTTTTAGAAATATAAAGGATTTTTTAATGTTTGGTGTGCTTAACTGCAAAGAAAAGGCGGAGGCCGTTCACTTTAAATCACAAGTACTTCCTACACCCCCCCCCCCCCCCGCGCCCTGCACCCAGCCTCGCCCTCTCTGCGGGGCCTCCTGCGCTACTGCTGCCTCCCGTCAGAGGGAGGCCGGGAACACCCAGTGCCCCTGAGCATCGCTGGAGTTTACTTGAAAGTCACTTCCTCAATATCAGAGAAAACGTTTTACCTCCGTATGCCTCTCTGGAGCCCGCCTCTTAGCCCGTAGAAGCCCGAGCTTATCTTCAGTTCGGCAACCCCACCTGGGAAGGACAGGCTCTCAAATGAGGGTGCTGCAGGGAGGGCCCCAGCAGCCAGGCTGCTTCCCAAGAGCCTGTACCAGGGATATTACTGAAACACTGCCGTAGTCACCCATCCCAGTGACCCGCTCCACAACAGTGCTCGTCCTTGTGGACACCGATGATGCTGCCATGAATGACCACAGATTGGTTTTGGTCGAGTCAAAACTGGTTAAGAGGCTCCAGGGGGACAGGTGAAGGGCCCGGGGGCTTTGATGTATTCCTGGCCCCAGGACCGTGACTGCAATTCGAATAGGGACATCTGGGGATAAATGTATGGTCACACAGTTGATATTGCCAAAAGGACTTTGGTTTTAATTGTCTTAACTGGTGGGTGAGGTGCCATGAGCCAGAAAGGATGGGGCCTACCTCACTGAGAAGGGGAGGAACCCCGTATTCGTTGATTTACTAACTTCAGGGGATACATGTCTAAAGTGTTCATCAGATTGGCTTCCTTCTTGTCTTTATTATAATCTCATATTAACAACCTTCTTCCTACCTTATTACTTTTATAGAGCTCACACAAATTGATCTTGCTTATGTTTTGTCAGCTACTTTATCTAATCCGAATTTAAAGACCTTCTAAATTCCCAGAAAAGTTCTGAAACAACTCGTTAAACAAAGCACTTGTATGCACCCACAGAGTACAAGGGGATGAATAACAGCCACCGTGAACTCATGAGAAACAAATGCGGACAAACCAGTTTGATGTCCTGGTATGGCACAATTTTTTAGGCATAATGTAAAAAGTAGAAGATGTCATATATGTTAACTTCAGGAAGGTTTTTACCACTGATTGTCCTGACCCTCTCTTAAGAAGGTATGACCACATGGTGAGTACAAAACTGGTGAGATAATTGTACCTCAAGTGCTAATTATCGGTGGTTGTCAAAATGGAAGGACATATTGAACAGGTTTTTTCAGGGGTCCATTCTGATGCCAGATCTTTTAATTCAGTTAACAGCCAGGATGATTAACACCCATGGGTGCCTTATTAAACCTGCAAATTACTCCAGGCTGTGAAGGACAGTAACAACAGAATTCAGCCCTAGACTGACAAATGGAAGAAATGGGCTGAAACCTATAGGTCATTATCTTTATGAACAGTGAACAACACAAATACAAGTGAGGGAACTGGGTAGATGCATTTTTTCAAAAAAGAGTCCAAGGTATAATGGAGAACAAATTGAACACCAGCAATGGAAAATACAAACAGCATCCTGGAGCATATGAGCCGGGAGGATAGCCTCCAAGACAAGCTTCAGTAATATGCCTAGCTAGGAACACTGTACTTCAGAAAATACAGGTCAACAGAAAAAAATTCAGAGGAAGTCAGTGAAGATGCTGGGAGGCACAGAAAACATGAAGAAAGGCTGAAAGAATCGAGTTGATGTAGTCTGTAGCAGAGAAAGACAGACTGAGGAGGAGAAGGGAAACTTTACAGTCATCAAATGCTTAAGAGGTCATTTCAAAGGCATCCATGGCCATAGCAAACAGGACAGGATATAAAGGATTTCAGCTCAGAAGAAAAAGCTTAAGTTAGGCTTTCAGATAACATCAGGATAGAAGTGTGCTGAAAGAGATTGGTGGCAGATAGCACAATCTCCATCAGTGGAGGTCTTTAAGAACAGGTTTCACAAACATCTGTCTGGACAGGTATTGTTGATCCTCTCAGACTGTCAGGGGGGAGTAAGGATAAACAGTATTATTTTACTTAATTGTAAACAAACCACATGCAGGTGGCACAAAATCAGAGGTAGAAGCGAGCTGTCAGCTTCTGCCAGTGTTTGCCAGCAGGCACTGGGTTTCTGCATCACACCCTGCGAGATTCCAACTTTTGACCTGCACTCTTGGTTAAGGCAGGAGGGAAGAGGAAGGAAAGTTGTGGAACTAAGCAGGGGAGTGTCTTTTGTGATAGCACCTGGACTGCACACACATCACCCACCCCAAAGTTTAACTCTCGGTATTTAAGGCCAAATTGCCAGTAAGAGCAAGTGGTTTAATAAGCATCAGGTGGCTTTGGAGCACTTGTAAAAAAAGCTAGAAGCCTGAAGAGGAGCAGGGAAACCACTCTTCACTCTTTTCTTTGGAAGCTGTTTCTAGCTGAAAGCTTTTACTTTGGTTCCTACCTAAGCTTTGTCATAGCTGTATCGCTGCTGTGCTTGGCTGTGTCTTGGGGCCATGAGACAGTTCCTGACCTGGGGACTTAGCTTTAGACCTGTTTCATTGCAGTATTCTTGTCTGGAGTCCAGGCTGAACCTGGTTACTGCCATCTGACCTGCGCTGCTTGCCTTGCTCAGGTCTGGGATCTTGCTGCTGAGGCCACTGTCTGTCCACCATGTTTCATGCTCCGTTCCTGTGACTCCTTCCTTGCAGAGCAGCTGCCCTTGGTGTTCCCTGGCATTAGGTAGGTGAAGATATAGGGTTAAGATCCCACTTTGTGATAGGTGGTGAGGGGTCCCATATGGGAGGAGAGGCACGCTTTCACCTGGACACGTGTGCTTGTGCTGCTGCGTGCCAGGGGGCCTGTGGCCTTTGTCATAGGCTCTGTCAGGTACTGGCACTGATGGTTGCCACTCATGGTGCCCCCACAAACCACACTCAGGAAGGGCTGTTCTTGTGGGAAGCTCTGGGTTCAAGTTCTTCCTGCTTGTCTCCAACCAAAGTGGGCAGGAACATGCCCAATACATTCAAAGATAACATACTATATGCGGCTTTGAAAGAGCCAGCAATGTCCCAAGGGAGAGCAAAGGCCAGGGTGGGACAGTGTAGGGTAGCAGCCTAAGTTCAAACCCAGCAAATAGCTCCCTGGGATTTTGGCCTGAGTGCGTGAGGAGTTGATGGTATTCGCTGAGACAAAGGAAAGCTGCATCCCTGACAGGGAGGATGATGACTTTGCTGGACTAGCAGGAATTGGGAGGATAGAGCAGAAAGAGGGAGATGGTCAGAACTAGCTCTGCCCTCCTTGTCCCACCGCCTGACAAAGGTGAGCTCTGCAGAGTGTGAGATACTCACTGGAGAGCAGGGTTTGGGCAGAAGCTCAGGCTCCTTCTGTGCCTGAGGGACTACTTCTTGGGTCGCAGTCCATCTCCCTGACCCCACATGCAGCTGAGCAGGGAAAACAGAAGATGGTAGGATGGGGAGGAAGATGTTTTTCCCAAGCTCAAAGCACAAGAGGAAAGAAAAATTTTGGCTTTAACATGAGATGAAATAAATAAGTATCAGCTGAACTAGGGGAGAAAGAAGTAAAAAATGAAGGCCAGAAGGAGAGGCAGCTCCCACCCCAACCTCTTTACCCTATTGCATTTGCACTTGCACAAACAGTAATGGTTGGTAGCTTTCAGAGGCACATCCAATACAGTTCAGGACTCAAGGTGTTTGCTCTGTCACCTTCATGAGAAGCCTGGGCAATGGAGGAGCAGGGAGAGAGTCTGCATGCTGCTGTCTAGCACCTGGGTGTCCCGGTGCGATCAGTGGATCTTAGTTCATAAAGGAGGCCAGCATAATTTCTGTTACACAGATGGGGCAACAAGGATTCTTGTAGGTGAAGGGATTTGCCCAAGTCATGCAAGGGGCTGGAGGGAGAGAGCCCACATCTCTGGAGGACCCATTTCACTGCTCTAATTCCTGGCATGTGATGTTCCTATGACTAAGGCTCTAAATTCACTGGAGTTAGAGGTAGGATCAGAAACAACGTACTGGAATGAACAGCAGTAGCTACAGGAGAAAAGAAAAGGTGGAGGAGACTGACGGTGGCAAAAAGGGCTTGATGTCCTGGGTATGGTGGAAAAGACAGGAGAAGCTATGCCCTGTGATGGCCGGGGAGGGGGTCTCGGGGAAAACCCGAGAAGTTTGCAAGCAGCTGCTTGTGTGGGGTGAAGAGATCCGGTAAACGCGCTTGGCCCAGCCGCCCGCCCTCAGGGGCCCCTCTGAGCACACGGGCGGGGGGGTCAGGCGAGCAGATGGCCGGGCACCCCCCGGTCAGGCCCGCGGCTCCAGGGGGCGGCGGGATGGGGCGATGCCCGGGGGAGCGGGGCTGCCGGCACGGCGCGGAGCGCTGCGGGGCCCGGCGGGGCCTCCCCCCTCCCCGCCGGGGCAGCGCCCGCTCCCGCCCCTCCGCTGCCGCACGGCGCCGGGGCTGCGGGCGCCCCGCCTGGGAGGGGTTAAGCGGCGGCCCCAGCCCGGGGGCGGACGGGGCGGCGGCGGCGGCGGCTGCTATACGGCGGCGGGGCTCTAGGTGTCCTGCCTGGGAGGGTCCCTGCTGCATTGCAGCCGCCGCGCTGCTCCCTCTCCGCGCACACAATGGCGACTCCCAGCCCCAGCGGCGGCTCCGGCGCCGGCGGCGGGAGCGGGCCGGGCCCGGGCGGCTCGCAGGCGCACGCCGCCGCCGGCAGCATGCAGGGTAAGCAGCCCCGCGCTAGGCCGCGGCCCGGCCGCCGCTTCCGGGCCGGGCCGGGCGGCGCGGCCCGCTCCAGGCCTGGCCGGGCCGGGCCGGGCCCCGGGAGCGCGGTGCACGGCCGCGGGGCTCGCCCCTGTTCGGGCCGAGCGCGGCGTCGCCGGGAGCGGACCCGCGAGCGGGAGGCGGCTGGCGGCGCCGGGCCCCGGGGCGGGGGGGGGGGGGGGGGGGGGGAGCGGGCGGGCCGGGGCGCGGCCGTGGCCGCCGGCCGGAGCGGCGCTGCCCGCGGGACACCCGCGCCGCGGCCCTGGGTCGCTGGGGGAGCCGGCGGGAGAGGCGCTCGGCACGGCCCCGGGCCCTGCCCTGCCGCTCCCCGCGGCTGCCGCCTCCCGCCGGGCTCCCGGGGAAGGAAGGGGCGGCCCTGCCCGCCGCCGCGGCTCCCGGGGCTGCCGAGGGGCGCGGAGCCCGGCTCGGGAGCCCAGTCGCGGGCGGCCGGAGCGAGCTGCGGATCGGGACAAAGGCCGGTGGGACGCGGCTCCCGCCGCTTCCAGCCGAGGAGGGCTCTGCGGCCTCCCGGGGGCGGCTCTGGGGGTCCCGGCCGGAGCGAGGCGCGGCCCGAGCGGCCCGTGCCCTCGCCGGGCTGCCCTCCCCGGCCGGGCTCGGCGCGCGGCGGGCCTTGCTCCTCTGCCCGTCCGTGTGCTGTCGCAAGGCGGATGTTGACTGCAGAGCCGTTCCACGGTGAACTCGGGGTGCAGTTTTGGTTTATTCTGATGGAAATTTACACTGTTAGAGTGGGGTCGTGTTACTAGGGCTCCTGCCTGCACTTGTTGATGATTGAGCAGTCTTGCAAAAACGGTGGATATTTATTTTTCAGAAAAGCCACAGAAAACACCTTTTGAGTTTCTCCCGTAAAAGGACCATTTTAGGATACATTAGGCTGAGGTGATAGAGTGATGCTTTGTTTTGTTTTGTTTTTTTCTGTTTTTTTTTAATTTAATACAGGGATAGTAATACTGAACAAGCTCTTTGCCCTGTTCTGAGAGCTCTTTATTTTTGACTAGAAGAAGGAAAGGTTTCGCTCTCTGAGAGAGAAGTGCGGGCATTCTCAGCAAATAATGTTTGTCACAGTTATTTTCCACAGTCCTGTGTTCTGTCCTGATAGGACAGACTGCACTGAGACTGATAGGAACCTGTGAGGACAGAGAACTGATGATATAAAACTGAAGAATTTGGTATAGTTGGAATAAAAAGGGGAATTTTTGCTCTTTCCAGCTTCCCCTGTGTGAAGCTCTCATGCTTGCTAGATGAAGGAGAGGGTACCTGTTGGGCCCTGGAAAGGTGTTATTGTCCAAGTTTACAGCACCTTTCAAAAATCAGCATCCTAAACCTTGTAAATTAAATTAATGCAGTAAAATACTGACTGCGATATGCCAAAGTGGTTCCGATAAAACAAGAAATAGCATCGTTGCAGTGTAATTACAACTCTCAGTATTACCCCTTATGTTTCTAGCAGACCTCTGTTTTTCATAGTTATGAATCGTTGCCCTGAATACCATGTATCTTCAGGGCTGAGAGTTGGTTTTGCACCCTGACTCCAGATCCTGTGATGCTTTGTAAACTTGTGATAATGTAGCATCTGCATCCTTTCTCCAGGTGGAGGAAGGGCAGTTATTTCTGTTTTAGTTGGTTTAAGGTGGCTATTTAAACATGAATTCAGGACAACAGGGAGAGTTTAATGATATGCAAGTGCTTCTGGTGACAGCTGGTGTTAGGGGCTTTTTTACTTCAGGTAACAGATGAGTGTTGAGGTGCCCTGCCAGGAGCTGAGTGGAGGATCCCGGGTGAGCTCTGGAGGAGCAGGTTGCTATGGCAGCAGTGGTGAAGGCCGGTTCCTGGAACCAGCAAGAAGCTCCATCCCAGGAGGACAGCCCTTCACTGGGACCCCTTGCTGCTGCGTGACCACCCCGGGCAAAGTCGAGGGAGTCTGTGAGTGGGATGGGAAGGGGCTGAACAAATCTGCAGGTGTTCTGCAGTCAGCCAGGGCAGGTCCAGCTGCTCTGAGGTGTGCCTTGCACCTAGCATGTGTCCGGCTGGCGTGGCTCCCTGCTGACGCCAAAGCAAGCTGAGCTGTCCCAGAGCAAATCCACCAAAATGTGGTGAGTTCCCTGCAGTTTGGGTGCCCAGCATTTGCTTGTGGTGGGGTTGGGCAAGCGCTGGCACAAGGGAGGTGTGGGAATGCATTCTCTGGGTGGGGAGAAAAGTAGGTAGGACTGCCAGTGTTGATTTAATTGGCTTAAATGATACGGCAACGTGGAGCAGGGAAGTCATTAAGCTGGAAACAAGTAATTATATTAAGGAAAAAAAAAAAAAAGTTGTGCTCAGTTATTTTTCAGCCAGAAACACTGACCCAACTTGTGCAACTGCTGCTGCGAGGGGGATGGTGGGAGTGTGAGAGGGGGGAGCAACTCCCACGGCTTCGGTGTGTGCCCACTGCTGAGGGGCCATGGCAGTCCTGAGATGAAGGGACACCTGGCTGTATTCCTGATGGGCTTACTGTGCAGCCATGGCCCTCAAGCCTTGCAGTCAAGCAAGGGGTTGCTTCAGGCCTTCTCACCCTCAGTGTTCTGCCTGCCCCAGCTTACCGCTCGTGTCTTCTCGCTAACTGTGTCAGCTGTTCATGCCCGTAAACCTGCGAGCGTTGCTTCTTCCCAAAAGGTCCCCCTGGCCTGTGCGGCTGATGGTGCCATGTTTGAAGCATGGTTGACAGCTCAGAGACAGAGGAGAACTGGAATTCTAAGTATTGAAAATAGATCCTATTTTTGAATTTTTTGTTTGTTGTGTGCAAACTGAAGTCTGTCTGGATACTGGTGACTGCTGATGTGAAGAATTGCTGTCTTTAGTTATGTGCAATGTTAAAAGTCCAGGAGCAGTCCTGCATATTTAGTGTCCTGGATTTTTTGTGGAGAAAACAGAGATTCTCTGGGAAGTAGGATATCCCACTTTGACAGTGGTCTATGAAAAAAATGACACTCAAACTGTAATTGGAACAATTTTGTGTTTTTCACATTGTTAAAAATAATAATAGTCTTTACTGCTGACATTATATAGAAAATTATAATTTGAAGAAGTGTGGTGTGAAATCTAGAAATGTAATTAATTCCATGGCATACGAAGAATTTTGATTCTCCTTGCAACCTGTGGAGTCACTCGTCCTAGCTCCTGTGCCAAGCAGGAGCTGGAACTGCTTATAACTGACTGTTATGGCTTCAGATCCTATGTTCGGGATTCAGGAAGACTAGAGGCAACTGGGACTTCTCAAAGTACTTGCTGCTTGGTATGCTCTGGTGTCTTTCAGAAGCAAAGCATACATACTGTGTATGTCTTTTCAGAGTGTACACGATGGTTTAGGTGTGTTGGGTGGGAATTCCCAACCTGTTAAGCTGGAATTTGGGATTTGTGGTTCCTCTCACATGTGTGGTCCTGTCTGCTCTCCCCATTGAGGCCTTTGCCTTTTCTACCCCACTCCAGCCATAACTTTTCTGTTTTTAGCAAAAGTCAGAGAAGGTCAGTATCTGGTTAGAGTCCTCTGTGGATATGAGACAAGGAACCTGGACAAGGAGGTTGCCAAGGGGTATCTGAGTGCACCAAGAGACTAACTAGAGTCCTGCTCTCACCCTTGGATACGGTTCTGAACCTCAGTGATGTATTGGAGTTGGGAGATGGGTCTCTGCCTGTGGACAAGGAAACTCTGCACTGTACCTTTGTCTGCCTGGCAGAAGAGAGCTTCCAGGAGGCTTTCTAAGAGGTCAAGAATTGTTCATACTTGGCAGATGACAGAATTGGTGAGCACTATGATGGACTTTGTCAGTCACTGTTGTTAGATGAATTTGGTATCTGTGTGCATTATACACTTGTCTTTAGGGTAATCATAGTTACTTCAGACGGCACTATCGAAAGCAAAGTATTTCTTAAAATCATTTGTGGGCATCACTGTGACTGGTATGATCCTTGGTATGGGAATTTGGTAATGCTGTGACTCCTATATCCTCCTCGTCTTTGTGTTGCTGCCTTTGAGTGCAAGGAGTGACCGGAGCAGCTCTTCTCCCCACTCCTGGACCCAGGCCCGGCAGAAGGAGGGGGATGAAATGTTGGTGCCTTGATGCTGAGATGCTGGGTCTGCTGGGGCACCATGTGCACACTGTCAAAAGGCTGGTGGGTAGACTTACCTCTCTGATCACAAGGGCGTAGTGGATGGAGAAGGTAAGAGGAGCCCCAGTAAGCACAGAAGTTTACTTAGGGAACCTCAGGGGGGAATTTGGGGAGCAAGAAGACAGTGGGGAGGTTATGGTGCAAACGCAGCAGCAAGTGAGCAGAAGATTAGATAGAAAGCAGTGTATGAATGGCCAGGTAAAATGAAAGATATGATGTAGATAAGAAAACAAGGGAGATAGAAAAGAGCAAGACAGGAAAAGAGAGGGTACTGGAGGGGAGAATTAATCCTTGTCTTCAGCAGGAAGCAAAATAAGCGTTATCTGTCACTGCGTATTAGTTACCTGCTCTTATTCTAATGTAGGCAAAGTGAGTTGTATCTTTAGCAGGTGGGAACTGATTGAATAAAATCATAAGGTGACTGCACTTATTCTTGCCCACAGTGGAATTATAAAACCGGTGTGTGTTAACGTAGGCTGCTGGTGCAAGCTGACACTGGCAGATTGGTCAGTGATGGGTGAATGTCTATTTGTACGTGTTTGCGTTTGTTATGGAAGATAAAGATAGTTGTGCTGTGAGCAAAGCAGTGTATTTCAGTTCATTTATGCCCATTCCTGTATGGTATCTCTGCCAGGATATGGCTGACCATATCTGCTTTGTGTTTGAGTCAGTGTATGCTTGTGCATGTAGGACTGTATTTATATGTAAGCATATGTTTCTTCATTTCAGTTTTCCATTTTGTTTTACTTGTAATTAACTGTCATTCTTAACGTGTCTGTTTTCCTGATAAAGGGGCA